TGGGAGTTGGCACAGGGGGATAATCGAGCATGCTGATTACTAAAACAGCAATATTGATTTGGCATGTAGACGTGGGCACAGGGAAAGGTTCGTGCAGGAATAGGGATAGTGATCTTTGACATAGTGGTGTACTGACAGGGCCGGGCAGAGCCGGGTAAGCCAGTTAGTAAGTTATAAAAAAAGTCACAGAAAAAATCGATTCCCATGTATGAAATCAGCGACTCACTTCATACTAGTGTGAAAGATTCCAGATTGTTTGGTTTACTAGATAAAGCATAACACGCAACTCACTGGCTCAATACCCTCTTCAAAGGTTCTAGGCAATGAAGAGAGATCGACGCTGCTAAAAAAGAAAAAACAAAACCAGAACAAAGTACTGACGAAACCTGGATATAATCGCTCGTGATATTTTTCTACACCTCAAACGTAGCAGTGATAATGTCAGTACATTCCGATAGCTGCCCCTTAATTCAATCTCGTCCTTACCAAAGCAGGAAAGCGTGGCGGGATACGCCGTCGACAGCATCGCAACGGCAGTGTTCGGTCATCATGTTCTGCTTGGTAAGGACGAATCGACGTGCGTATGTTCAAAATGAAGCGAATTTTTCGCCTTAAAATAATCAAGCCGGCACTGGTTGTGGCTTGCATGGAGAGCCCGCTTTGGTAATTTTGGACTTGGACGCTCCCACACTGGACGTTCGGACATTGCTTTTAAGCATTTTGAGCGTTTAAATGGAAGCAGTTTTGATTACGTTTTTGAGCTAAGCGTAAATCACTCGAAGGAAGTTCTTAAATGCAATTGAAACATTATTTTCGCAAATCAGTTGTCATAATTACGGTACAATCTAGTAAGTTGCAAAGGTGGATACATAAAGTTCCCATGCCATCCAATCGTATACTTTTTATGAGGACATAAAAGCTGCCAAATCTGTTTTTACTATCTGCAAACGCCTTAAAGAGAGGGATTCTCTGAAATAGAGTTCGTAAGCAGTTAGGTTAAAGTCATTGAAAGAGGGACGCTGCATGCTCGGATAGCTTTTGCCAGGACCCGGCACAGCTGAAACACGGTAGACTCGAATACTCGAATTCAGTGTTAGTTGACTATGCATTGTCAGTCTGAACAAGGTGAGACAGAACATCATTTACCCTTTAATCGAACTGGATTGGCGGTTGGAAGGCGAGGCTTCGTGACCTACTAAAGGCTGGATATAGCCAGAGAGCACGCGGGCGACAGAAACGCAGACTGCATCGCGGGCGCGAGCGGCCACAAGGAAACAAAGCCCGCCTTCCAGTCGCCAAGCTAGTTGCAAAGGTTAATGCTCTAACATGTTAACGAAATCAACCAATGTTTCGTTTATCACGGATTCGCATTGATATGACCCCAAATGGTTGCACATGCGTTTGAAGGACATGGTACCATGCTTGAGAATGTTATGAATAGTGTCAGACCCCCCTCTCGCTACTTTGATACAGCTCTCCCAATACTTTCATCGGTGGTGCAATCTGGAAGTACAGGGACATCTGCAAAAGAAGCACACTTTTTTCCATCAGAGTGTTAGACCCTGGGCATACCTTACGCGATTTCGGTCCGCGATTTGGCAATACTCCAATTGTTCTTTCTCCTGCAGATGTAAGTGTACTTGAAACTGCCTTCATAGATATCAGTCCGTCAAGATATCAGAATTTGGATTAGCACAATTTCAAGGGCGTGGAATTCTACTCAAAGTTCACGCTTAAGATTATGAGTTGCTTTTTTAATGAAGTGCTATTTTAATATGAGTCAAGACCTTTTCACCAGCAACTAATTCAGCATGCGTAATAGAACATGCGGTGAACAATCTACAACGTTTTTTTCTGGAAATTTCAAACAAGTAGTGATTAATAGGAAATACTGTGCGTTGAGAATTGGTCTACGAATTAATCACAGCAACAAAGTCATGCAGCACTGTCTGTTTGTTACAATAATGCTACGCAAAGTTCAGTTCACCGAATTTCTTACTGTGATGAACAAATGTTATCATAAGCCACGTTCCTCTGACTCTTAAAAAGGCAGCAGTGATCGAGTTTGTCTAGTCGAATTTTACAGTTGACGTCTATTGCCCCACACCATTTTGTAGATTTCCGCCATTAGCCTGCTATGTGCACAAGATTTGGTTTTTCATCTCTGCGAAATTGTGAGATTTTTACAAGTACGTAGTTAAGGTGGACGCATAACGAGCCTCAACAAAAACATTTAGACGATTTATATGCTAAACATGTACAAAGCTCGATAAGTGATGAATTCGCGTCTACATGATTTTATATATAAAGCTGAATGTCTGTTTGTATGTATGTATGTATGTATGTATGTATGTATGTATGTATGTATGTATGTATGTATGTATGTATGTATGTAGGTCTGTCTGTCTGTCTGTATGTACGTATGTTCCGAATAGAAAATTCCATTTCCGATCCGCACCAAACTTGGCACACATACACTTCGGGCCTCGGCGGGTGTCATAGGCTACTTTTCGTCATCGATCGATATCGGTTTTACTGATTTTTATCGATTTTTTGCAGAGTTCATCTACGGGGCTGGAAGTTGGCACAGGGGGGGAGGGGTAAGTGAGCATGGGGATTTCGAATACAATATTAGTTTTCAGAATTATTGATTACTTTTACCGATTTTTTGTAAACTTTGACCTGCGGGGCTGGGAGTTGGCACAGGGGGTAATCGAGCATGGGGATTCCTAATACAATAGTTTTCAGGAATATCGATTACTTTTATCGATTTTATCGATTTTTTTTGCAGAGTTTGAGCTACGGGGCTGGGAGTTTGCACAGGGGGGGGTAATCGAGCATGTGGATTCCGAATGCAATATTAGTTTTCAGGAAAATCGATTACTTTTATCGATTTTATCGATTTTTTTGCAAACTTTGACTGCGAGGCTGGGAGTTGGCACAGGGGGTAATCGAGCATGGGGATTCCGAATACAGTATTAGTTTTCAGGAAAATCGATTACTTTTATCGATTTTATCGCTTTTTTGCAAAGTTTGAGTTAGGCTGGGATTTGGCACAGGGGGGTAATCGAGCATGCTGATTGCGGGTTCGATATTAGTTTTGCGCTATTCGGCTATCCGAGCCCCAAAATTTTTTTGTGGTAAGGCTTGCTCAAACATCGTGCATAAGGGTTATCTTAAGGGCCGGGCATACTTCAAGCGATTTCAATCGCGACACGATTTGGCAATATTCCAGGTGTCCATAACTCATTGTAAACACATTATAAATGTGCAGAAGATAAGGCATTTCACAGTACGTAAGTTATACACACTATGCATGTGCAGTTTGCTAAGTTGGAACCGAAGACTTCTGGCGAATTGCCAAATCGCGTCGCGACTGAAATCGCGTGAAGTATGTCCGGCCCTTTACATGCTGATTACAGATACCACACTTTCTCCGCAGAACGTCTTCCTGTGTGGTCACGATAGGTGTACGGTAGGAAGTCAGTATCATGAATTCGGCTGGAGTTCGGTCCATATGGCTTATTCTACATGCTAATTACGAACATCATCTCTCTCTCTATGCATATTGGGACCTTTTCATAGAGATGTGGTGGTTATATGGCATGGGGTCGAAAACATAGGTTTACTTTAAACTTCGTCTAGGTTGGTCATTTAGCGCGCTGAACATGAATACCATGCTGATTTCGCAGCATAGTGCATTTTCTTGGGTTACGGTGGGTGTAGATGGGTCGAAGTTCCAGATTTGCTCAAAACCTTACCTGTAACGGTTCACAGGTATATCGCTTATGAATATGATGCTTGGTCGCTGTCATAACGCAATAGTGAAGTTATGGTGAGTTGCAGGGTTTGAATAGACATTTTTTCGCTTTCGGGCCAATTTAGTTCCCAGATATTCGAGAGATGGGGAAACGGTCGTTTTGCATAGCGGTCTTTAGTGCCATCCTGACCTGTCCCAACGCGTAACGCACGCGGCAATATCCTTCCCCCTGTTTCTGCTCAGGCAAAAGCCGCCGAAGCGTGTCTCGCGCGCGGCAGTAGTCCTATCAGGGGAAGCGTTACCGTCGTGGGAAAGAAAGTTTTGTACCACACGAATTGCCGTTATCCTGGGGATTAAGCACGGTTTTCCTGAAACAGCACTTTAGGTATTTCCCTGCCAGGGTTTCAGGCAGATTCATGATTTTTACCCGCTGCCACGCGAAATGACTACTTTCGTCATCAGCGGCTTGACTAGCCCCCACATACCGAGTTCGAGCAAGACCCACCACAAAAACTTTTCAGGGCCCGGATAGCCGAATAACGCCATCGGTTTTTGAAATTATCCTTACTTTTATCAATTTTATTGGTTTTTTTGCAAAGTTTGAGCTACGGGGGGGGGGGGTGGTGAGGAAGGTAGGTGAGCATACTGATCACTCACACAGCGGGAATAGGGAATTGCATGTAGAAGTGTGCACAGGTAAAAGTGTACAGGGATAGAAATGGAACCTTTATCGTTTTTGACAAAGCCGGCGAAATAGCATTTTAATATGAGATGGATACTGTCTCGGAGGGCATGAAACGCTGATTTCAAATCTATCTTATCTGCAGCGCGTTTCTGGGCGAGAAATCAAAAGACCCTTGTTGAATACTTAGATGGCGTCTTCACGTGGTGTGCGGCCCCAGCACAGAAGTTTCCAATAATCCCTGCTCCTTGTTTCAGATATGCAAGATCTTCTTGGTCCTCGTCGATGGCTGCCGCCACAACTTCCAGTTGTCAGAAGACCATCCAGCTAATTCCCCAGCTGGTCCATCCGTTTAACACGTCTGCCCCTTTCGTTGGTGATCCTTCTCGAACGTCTTGCTTTGCGAGGAACCCGCTCGGATGTTCCTAGTGTATCTGTTCTTCTCATGGTGTGATCGGCCCATTGATGCTTCGCTTTCGCAACGTATTCTGCTCGGTCGCGAAGACAGGACATTTTTTTATAGTACTGCGAAATCCGACAAGATGTTGATTTTGAGTCATCTTCAGAAGAGCTGCGCTCAAGCGCTCTATAAACTGTCCATAGAGCTTTCGAGTGCCTTTTTTCGACTAGTTTTCGGAGTGCCAAGTCTTAACTGCGTAACAGAGCGTCGAGGGAAGTTGAACAGGTGAACAGTTGAACTCGAAGCTCCGGGGTTCACTAGCATGTGCGAAGGACCGGTACTCGCTGATCTACCCACAAATAGAGTTGATTAGATTTATGATAAAATTTGTAAGGGTGACACATGTTATCTCAGTCTGAACCTACTGTTAGTCGATAGAGTAGATGAAGTATGAAGCTAGCTAAACCTTCGCATTTCGCGACCCATTCTCGAGGGGCGGCGGGGCCTCGAGAATGGGTCGCGAAATTTTAGAAAGTTATTATATGGGTTAAAAAATGTGCAAGTGACTTGTCTGTACTTGTAAATGATTAAAATAGTTTTTAAAATTTTTTAAAAATTCAAATCAGCCCTTGTAAAAAAATTTTTCCGGGCGTGGCTGCCGCCACCGCCTCCTTTTTCTGATATTTCGGGAACATGGTCGCACAAAAATTTTGGGAAGCATCCCAAAAAACTTTTCGGAGCGTGTGGCTAATGCCACGCACCTTCATTCAGAAAAAAATTTTGTCTCCCCCCGGTCCGAAATCCTGGGACCGCCACTGCCGACTAAATCTGAAAATTTTGTTGAGTTGTATAAATTAAATGAACACCCTTTAGTTGTTGGCTTTTCCTCAAATTTGTGTGCTGCGTGATTGTTTTCAGAAGTGCTAATGGCAGTAGCAATAGTTTTATTTTGAGGGCTTTTTTATACCCTATTTTCAGGTGTATAAGCCGCACCCTTTTTGCTCTAAACGCGAGCGGACCCAGGCGTGCCGCCGCGCATATGCCTCGCGAAGCGGTCGCCTTATCGCATACTGCTCTCACTTAATGCGCTCCATGATGACAGTCAGCCTTTTGGCGTGTTCGCCTTTAGAGCGAAAAAGGGTACGGCTTATACATCTGAAAATAGGGTACTAGATTTCCAGCCATGAAGCAACTTCCTGTGATTTTCCTATTCATGCTCCTATGTCAAAGGAATTACGAGTCCAGGACAGTTGATAGGTTTGCAGGTAAGCATCAGGATTATAACTTTCTTGCCAACTATCAAAAAGTTTAATTGTACAAGTGCTAGAGTGTGCTTTTGTTCACCTCAACCAACGGATAGATAACCTCAAATCAATCTCATACGCAGGTTGTCAATCGTTTGATCTGTGGTGAGTGTCTTGTATGGAAAGCTTTCGCTTCCTTTTAAAGGTTATGTTGTGGGAATGACTTAAGCTTAGATTTACAAAGTGGAGCGAAACACCGGCCGCTCTTCATTACTGAAAGATCACGGAAAAAATCTGAAGAGGGTACCGGCAATGAGCCATTCAGAGCCGTATTTTGCTTCAGAAACAAACCACACACGCTTGAAACTCATACACTAACTAATCAAAGCCGATAACACAAGTATAAGGTCTCCACTTCAGCGCAATGCTTCCGTCATACTTATGCAAAGTAGACCGCAATATTTTTCATAATGCTCCCCAAAAAAAGCGATTATACCACTCTAAATACTTTATAAACTCGTAAGAAGATAACTAATTTAACTTGAAAATCTTGTACACAACTTTTCACAACTTTTCAGAGTTTTTGAAAAAACCTCCATAAAACGGGGTATTTCACAATGAAACGGTAAGGCGAAAGTTTTGACCATAATCCTGTCGTAATGAAAAGGTATCGATGATTGTCTCATACTGCAAATCTAAGTTGAAGCCAGCTCTAGAATGTGGTGTTCAAAGTATGGCGAAAGCTTTTTATAAAAGAGAATTATCACAGATCAAACTTTAGATTCATTATTATGGGGCACTCACACTCTTGGCTCTTACAATTAGATTGTCCCAAAAGTAAACTCCATTTTCAAATAACTTGAGCTGTTTATGTTTTCTTGACAGATTTAGGGTACCATTCGGTAGAGCGCAGCAAGCTCTACAAAAAGACTACCAAAGTTCCGCCTAATTCGTAACCTAGTATGTAAATTGTAGCTAAAAATCAAAATTTTTCAGCTACCCTAAAAATCGCATCTCCTTCCAGAAAATAGCTACGGACTTCCAACTTGGTCTTTATATAGTAGACACATAGTAGTGCATAAAAATGTATTTAGTGGATTTTCTCCGGGGCTCGAAATTGAGAAACAAATGGGGTCCCATTATGCCAAAATGCCACTTTTTCGAGTTTTTTATGTAAAACTTGGTATTTCTCGGTTATGAGAGCACATACAGGGGTAAGATTCTAAAATTATACTTATTAAGGCTTGTAGTGTACAATAACATATGTGGGAGGGGCTGGGGGCGGAGCTTTCCATTTTTGGACAACTTTTGTTTCTCGCTTTTTATGCTCGGAAAAAATTCGGTAAAGGCACATTTGTGTTTTCTACATGCCCACTGTATAATGACCAAGTTGGAGATCTGTAGGATTCTTTGTCGCAGTAATCCAATTTTCAGGTGACAAAATTTTTTTCGATTTTGGCTTCAAACTTTACATGGCGACTCACGACTCAGGCGGATCCTTGGCGGTAATTTTGTAGAGCTTGATCTGCTCTATCGAACGATACCCTAAATATACTAGAAAATCAAAAACAACTTCAATTACTCAAAAAAGGAGTTTACTTTTGGCACAACCTAATAATAAAAGACCGCTGGCATAAGAAGTTATAAAAAATCTACGATTTTGACCATAAACCTAGTTCACCGCGGCTACGCCGCCACACTGTGCGGGACTGCCGCTTTACTCGTTTATGGCATACAAAGGGTCCTCGCCCAAAGAAGTGGGGGAGTGGTGAAGTATCTAGCAATAGTGTACTTTGATTCAACTGGCTTGGCTGCTGGAAGGCGGGGCTTCGTGACCTATAAGACTAAGTAATGATCAGAGAGCACGCGCGCGGCATAGACGCAGACTGTGTGGAGGGTGCGAGGGCCTATTAGGTTGCAAAGCCTCGCCTTCCACTGCCAAACCAAATGAATTGAAGGTTACCACGCCTAATGGTCTGCATACAACCTTTTTTCAGCAAATTAACTTTATTGTATTCACCGCATCTCCGGCGATAGCGAAACAAAAAAACGCAAAGAGGCAACAGCAAGATTATCAACGTTCTTTGGGGCTGAATTTTAGTTTATAATCATTTTTCTGACAAAACAAGTGCGAAAAGGTTTTACAGACTTCTCTAACTTCTTGCACTTTCAGAATACAACGAGATCAACGCAACAACTAATTATTCAGTTTTGGATGACAAACGAGCAGAAAACAAGGTCTGTTTGTCTGAATTCGGCAATTTCATTTTTTATGCTCACGATAGATATGAGTGTCAATACTATAGTTATGAGTAATTCAAATTCTGCGAACTCGGGGACATTTTTGCTGAGAACCACGGTTTTTGCTGCAGGTAGCACTTGTCCGAGCCCCAAGTTCGAAGAACTACAGCAACACTGGCAACTTTTTGACAATCTTTGACTTTCTAACATTTTGTAACAAATCTACGAAATTTTAACTGCCAAGGATGAAAAAAGAAAATTATATAGAGCGACAATCTGCTTGGTTTTGGAATGCTGCGCAGAATTTTTGAAAACGCTTGAAATGGGGATCATGTATGAGGCTTTGAAATAACTGGTAAACCCTGTGGCATTTTCAAAGACTTTGTGCATAATAGCTGACATCTTTCTGAAATTTCTTCACTTTTTCACAATCTTCCTCCACCGAGCTTTGTCAGGAAAGTCTACAGCTACGACATGGTGAGGGTATGCTAAGAGTCTCCAAAGAAATTCAGCAATGATTATCATCACTGAAAGCCCTGGTTCAGTGACTTTTTCAAATTTAGTGATTTGAAAATTTCAGGTGCTTGAAGACGCACTGCGGAAGTTCAATCTCAGTGCACACTCCAACTTGGCGGCCACTGGCAACAAGAGCAATGTAATCCTCTTTCTATTCCGAATAGTGTGGTAATTCTTAACTACGTTTCAGTCACATCCTATAACATCATTGGAACTTTACTACCACTCTGAGAGACGGGTGCCAAGTCAGATCACAACAAAACATTGCAAGCTATGTGAGGGCCTGAATAAACAAAAGAAAAGAAAAGCAGATTTCTTTCAGATCTTTTCTATGAAAAGTGCGTGCCAGCGGGAAAAGAAATCTCACCAGGAAAACTAAGCATGTGCTATAGTAATTTCATTTCTTTTGTCACAGTTTCTTTCCTACAAGCAAACCATAGCTTCTAGCATGCAAGAGGATCTACCACGTCAGCTATAACTGTTATCCAAGAGTCCTCAAAGCAGAAGTTTGTGATAGGAGTAACGGTGATTGTGCTTTCGATAATGGTAGACGTAAGTCATTTTTCGCAAATTAAAGCACTGCTGCATAGCCTGACCTTTCAGCACAAGGCACATGCATTTCTACTTATTCTACAGTAGCGTTACTAGGAAGTGTAGGAAACGACAACTGTACATTTCTGCCTGAGGCCTTCGAGGTATAACTTGCATCAACGAGCACACATTCAAGATGATGGTTTCTCACTTTCTGAATAATTGTGAGAACACGGACTTTGCACTGTACTTCGCTCACATACATTTAGATGCCAACTGGTTGCCAATGTGCGCTCAGAAAGCACTCGGCTCTAAAGGCAACATGGTACAGTCCATCAATCCAGCGGCAAACCCTATCTGATAAACGATAACATTTATTTGTATTTTTGTGCTTCATAAATTTTGAAAACAAAACTTTAGAAACAGTTGATGTGCAATTGATACTAGGCCTGCTGAGTCCACTGGCAGCAATAGAATTACGAGTACAAAAGCAGGCAAGAAAGAAGTTTTGCTTTTGTTAATATTGCTACGATGTTCATAATGACCTTCTCTTTTTTGCTTAAGGAAATAGCCTTTCAATAATCGCCAATTAGCGCTTTTCACAACAAATGCAAAACTTTGATCGTTTTTTCTGGAAGCGGTATAGTCGAGTAGATTTTCCGCTTAATACAGGGTGTCCCAAAAGTATGTATCGAACGTTTGATCGTTAATATCTCTCTTCCTAAGAAGTCTTTTGCCTTGCTTCAGGTACCGTTTTGTAGAGCTGGCTTCAACTTAGATTTGCACTATAGAACGAATCATTCATCTCTCTTCATTACTGTAGGATTACGGTAGAAACTTGAAACATATGGTGTTAATGTGAAAAAAGCTGCCGTTTCAAAATTTTTCAAAAAATCGTGAAAACTTGTGTAATAGGGTTTTCATGGACGCTGAGTTCAATAATTAACTATTCACAAGATTACGAAGCTTTCTAAACGGTGCAATCCCACTTTTAGGAACATTGAAAAAAATGGCCGCTACTTCTTACCTGGCATAACTCTTCAATGAAGCATCATAATAAGTTGGGAACTTTACAGTTATAATCAGCAACTCTAATTAGCCTAGCATAAAAGTTTTCAAACTGTTTTGTTTCCTTTCTGTGGCAAAATATGGCCTTTCATGGCTCAAAACCCTCTTTGAAGTTTCTACCGTAATCCTACAGTAATGAAGAGAGAGGAGTGATTCGTTCTACAATGCAAATCTAAGTTGAAGCCAGCTCTACAAAACGGTACCTGAAGCAAGGCAAAAGACTTCTTGGGAAGAGAGATATTAACGATCAAACGTTCGATACATACTTTTGGGACACCCTGTATAGTGTGCATGCACTGTAGCTGGAATGCGGTAAAATTTGTAAAGAATAGCCACGCCATAATGCCGGCACTCTGCGCGCGCAATTGGCCGGCGTCATAGACGCAGCTATTTGTTCAAGCGCAAACTTTGCCGTATTTCAGCTACAGTGCAAGCACACTATATTAAGGGGAAAATCTACTCGATTGTACTTTTCTGGCAGTATTCTTAACTTCACTCGATGCCTTCAACTGGCTGACTGTGTTTTGTGATAATCTCGAGATATATTTTACCAGTGCGTCACCTCTGCTTCGCAGAGGCTCGCACTGGCCCTATTTTCTGTATTCCTCACTCATTCCCGCATAATAATGACATTGAAACTCACCGCGCTAGGCAGGCTATCGTGAATGATTTGTAAACAACTATTCATTCCAAGATATTTTTGTGTGAGATCGGTATTTTCGCGTGGATGAAACTTTTCCGAGAAAAATAAATGCAAATTTAAATTAGTTTTTGACCCTTATTTGGTTTGATATTCACCACAACGACGATGATCACCGTGGGCTACATTTCTGTGCAGAAATCTTCTCAAATGATCAGGTAAAATCTTGGCAAATTGAACATTTGCGCAACTAATTGTTTTCGGCGCCATTTTCCTAAGGTAATGAATTTTAGTTCAATTTTTTGGGCTAAAGCCAATGGCTTGCACATTAGCTTGTTAATCATATCTATGACCTCGCAAAAAGTGGTAGTACAGGCCCACTTTGCTTGCCAAAAGTGGACAAAGTGGACTCGTTTGAAGCGCAATTTTTGGGGGATCCACTCAACGGATCCGCTCGTGCTTCTGCATAGCGGACTTTCATGCAGCTAGCATGCGCCATACAAAACTTGGGCTCTGTACGTTGGCTGGAACACGCTCATTGAATTTTGTAACAGACAGACAGACAGACAGACAGACAGACAGACAGACAGACGCACACACACACACACAACGTAAACACCCTTAGCCCGTTATTATAAGTTATGATAGTGAGAGTGGTATCAAAAAAATCTTGGTTGGCATATGAGAACTGCTGAGCAGTTAGAAATTGCTGATCAGGGTTGTCGTTCTGGAAGATGCTTTGGCATCGACATGTTCGTAAGCCATCAATCAAAACATCAACATATAAAACTTAAATATAAAATATTAGTGGTGCAAAAGTAATGCGCGTTTTTCTAGCCCTTGTTTTAGGTCAACTTTTCTCCATCAAACTTTTCTCTTTGGAAAAAACTTAGCATGCTGTCAAGAAGCTCCTTTCATTCTCTATCGAAAGGTGGTCAAAACGGGCTTCTAGCTTCATTAGTTTAAAAATAACAGAGTTTTACACAACCGCACTCGAAACCAAAATTTCATTGCTTCTACTTTTTTGGTCAGAAATCAAGCCCGAATAAAGGCAAACTTTTGAAACTCTACAGGGTTGGGGGAAAGTCTTTGAACAATTTTTGATGTCATTGTATGTTTGGATTTTCCAAATATTCTTGTATGCTAATTATAAGTATTTGCTTCTTATACCCTTTATTACAAGCGCTCCAAAAACTGGACTATTAGCTTTTTTCTGTCGGAGATATGCCTTCTGGAATGGAGCGAGCCTTGTTGGCGAAGATGCACGAGGAGAGGATGGCTAACCAGCAGATTGCGCGGGTTACCCAAATTTTACGAATCAGCGTCTTTTCTACCTTGCGTCGTTTCCAGGATATGAACACCACCCAGAACTGTTGTAAGAGTGATAAATTGGCTACTGCGAACACTCACAAAAATCTGAGGATCGTTCGCCAGCGCCATCGTCACAATCCTCGGCGAAGCTTGATTGAGCGAGCTTCAGAGCTGTCCATCTCTAGCAGAACAGTCTCCGGCATCATGAAACAGGGCCTTAGGATGAAGCTTTTCAGGATGCTTAGAATTCATGCTTTTTGGGAAGACACGAAGCTGAAATGACTGCGCGGATGCCATCGAATGCTTGAACGTCTCTTCAAGGCACGCCAGCGCACGATACTCCATTCTGACGTCAAAATTTTCATCATGAAGCAGGTTTTTGATCGCTAAAACAACAGAGTCATTACTTAAACGCTCCAAGAAGCCAATAGCAAGGGTTGACTTGCAGAAGAAAAGCTTCATCCGATTTTTGTGACAATTTGCGCGGCGATAGCTTCCGACAGCAAGATGCCGCTGATTTTCAGGGTCGCAGTGCTCAAGGTGGACATTGCTATGCATGTGAATAGCGTCCTGAAGAAGGCATTGTTGGTCTGGATCAGCACCCATTTGCCGGGGAGCGATTGGTGCTCATAGCAGGATAGCGCACCTGCGCTAAGTGAAGGTTGTTCAAGCATGGCTCCAAAGCAATGCTGAGGACTTCATTACTCATGTGGAATGGCCTCCGTATTGGGCGAATCTAAATACCCTCGACTACCGCATGTGCTCAGTTCTTTAGGCCAAAGCCTGCGCTCACTCACGCAAAACTGTGGAGTCACTGCGACATACTCTTCAGAATGCGGGGAGGAAATCGACGTGGAGTGCCTCCGTGCCACCGTGGACAGCTCCCTCAAGCGTCTTCGAGCCTGTGTTTGCGCCAAAGGAGGGATCTTTGAAAAGTAAAGCTGCTTTCATAGAGTAGATTGTTTGGTAAACATTATATGTATATTTATTTCATGTAAATATGTTGCGTTGTTTCGTGATTACGATTAAAATAGCGTGTTCAAAGACTTTCCCCCAACCCTGTAGTTACTGCATTTGATGGAAATTGTCTACATTGTGCATATTTTATCATTTTCTCAGAAATTACTTAGACTGAGATTTAGGCGTCTCAACATGGGCAACCGTTTCGATAATTCTGTGTCCCATAAATTTCCTTTGAAGAGGGCAATCGCCAAAGCTTTGCTCATTTCTGTAAGCGTAAGGGTGGACCTCCTACTGGCAGTTTTTACAGAATTGTGTAGCTGTTCATTACGCAGAAAATCAACAAAACTCCATATTTTGGGGTTTTTAGGCCTGCGAAAAAATGTCCAAAAAAGTGGACAGTTTTGGATTTAATTTTTTTCTTTCTGCAAACTTTTCCCGTTTGGGACTTTTCCAGCTTTGTTTGTACTGTTGACTTACGGCTACAAGCTAAGCTACTTATCATTTACACTGACAAATTCTGAAGGGAGTTACGACCAGTTGAAAACGAGGTTCTAGAAAAAACTTTTTCTGCTTATCAATCCATATTTTTCCGTACATTTGTGATATGAGTATAAAGAGATGTGCGCTGTATTAAAAAAGATTTGATGCCTCTGATGTTTTTTACCGCGTTGAAAAATGTAGATTTTCTAGAAAGTTATAGCACGTCAAAGTGAAAACTAGCAAAACGCGCATTACTTTTGCACCAACCTAATATAAGCACGAGCTATCAATGAGCAGCCAGTACGTGGTTGCACTTGTCACTAGATTTATGTCCGTATGAATAAGATTTAAATTGCTGTAATGGGGAGCAGTTAGATTATGTGTAGTAACTGGGCAAGTAGCGGTTTTCAACAGCTGCACTGAAAAAAAAACAGTATATGTCAAGCGAACTGGCACGTTTTCGGTGGTGTTTTTTCTTCTGTTCGATTATTACTGCAGCTACGATTGCGAGCTTCTCTTGGTCTTTCTAAAGAAAGGATTTAGTAGTGAAGTAAGCAGAAAACTTTGCATACCCTAATTTCACAAGGCGCGGGGTAGTCCTAGCTTTCATCGAGCTGCTCAGCCGCCTAAACGTGTAAGAAGCGATCCTTATGCCACACGATTCGTCAGGCAAAACGCAGCACGGTGGGTTTCTTTAGTTCCTTTGCCGTGTTCGGGCTGGTCGATGAAAGCTAGGACCACCCCGCGCCTTGTACGCGTGAAATTAGGGTAATTCATATACAAAAATCTGTAACAATTATTCACACGTAATGGGCAATTTTTATGAAGAACGTCGGTTGGAGCCAAATTCCGATTATAGTTCCAGACCATAAGTATATCAGGAAAATTTTGCAGAAACTACTTTTCTTGTGCCCGAATTCATCTATTCC